AAAAAAGAGAACAGGCTTTCAGACTAGAAATGCTCCATTATTACGAACGGCAAAGTTTTCATTGATTCATTTTCGTTGCAAATGCCCAGGTGCCCGTTTTGAGTAGCCTTTCAAAACCCATAATCCTCAGCTAGTACCTCCAATACCTCTGAAGGAAATGATGCAAAGGAGGGCATTGGGAGCTGCCCTGTGATGCTATAAATCCCATTTGTGTTGGAGCTGATATTAACTTTGACCAATCTAATTTTCTACTAAAGATATATTATGTCAACACTTAGAAGATATGGATTTTGTTTGCTTGCAAAGGATCTTAGGTCAAGGGTGGCTTGATGTTCATGAAAGGAATGTCAAGTGCAACATCTGGGCACAGCTGGGGAGCCTCAGTGTGGTTTTCACAGAGGCAATGGCACCTGTGAGAAGTGTACATCAGCTATAATCTGTCATTTCCATAACTATTCCAAATGTTCACATACAGAACCATTCTTTGATCCGACTGTGCTAAACCAGAACTTCTGAATGAACTGAGGGTTACAAATAGGTAAAAGTCAGTAACACTCTACGCTTAAATTAGCTTATATCCAATCATCCTAGCAACTGAGGCTCTAGAAGCGTTGTATTGTAAATCCAATACATTTCAACATCCAGACAGCACCTTTTGCGGTTGCCTCGCAGTCATAAATGTAATCCAATACTTTTGCGATCCTTATTTTAGAAAAAAAAGTATGGGCTCAGATACAATATCAGCAGCCTCAATTTGATGATCCTTTTTATTCACATGCAACAAAGACTGTTTTGTATGTGTTAAATAGCAATTCCTTGGCACCCCGTCTTATGATGCACTTCCCATCAGTTGTCTCCAAAACTGCATTTGGTTCTGCTTGGGAAAAAGACTATCCTCCTTGTGTTTTCCTGGACTGAGACTAACGCAATGATTGCTTTTAAAAATGCATAAACCAAAGCCTTGTGCAATTTCTAAAAAGGCACAGAGAAAACTGCAGGGCTCTTCCAGATCGCACTGATTACCTAAACTAAAACCAACCCCGAAAAGGAATTTAAGAGGTATACAAATGTTCCCAGGTTTTGTTTTGTTTTCTTGTCCCCTGCTTTCTACCCTCCCAACAACATTACAAAACATGGTGTGTTTTTGTATTATTTAATAAACCGGCTCCTTTGCAATTCATATACAATCACAGGTGATTTTTTTTAAACTCCATTTTATACAAACATCTCCAAAAATAGTTGGGAGTGAAGTATGGTGGGAACTATTGCTCACTCTGCTAGTTAACATGCACGTATGAGAAGGAGGAAAATGGTTAGTGCATACCTCCAGAGCACGAAAGAAAAGTTAAAAAAAAAAAAAGAGCCTCCAAAATGATACAGCAGATGACTCAGGAGCACAATCCGACAGGGAATTCTCTTGTTCCAGCCCTAGAGAAGCAGACAGGAGTTGGGACTCTTGTATTCACTGCATCCAGGGCTGGGGCAAAGACCAATTCTCAAAAGGTTGTGCCCTTACAAAACCAAAACCAAAAGGGTTAATGCCCACAAAATTTAGGTTTTGTCATGCTAGCTGACTTCCCAGTACTGTATCGTAATTGGCTTGTCCATTTTTATATATATATATGTGTGTGTGTGTATCTATATGTACATGGCCATTTATAGAACCCCCCCCCCTTTTTTTTGAGGTATGTAAGAGAAAATACCTGCACCAATGTTGAGGGTGGGGAATATGATCTTTAAAAGGAGAGAAAAACCTTCTCGTGCTTCGTAATTCAATTTTAGCCTTTGGGTGGGAAATGAGGTTAAAACAGAGCTGCGATGTCAGCTCCTGTATGCAGTGTGTGAGATGCCTTCCCCACCACCAAAGGGAGCCAACTTGGGGGGGGGGAGAGAAGACAGTGATCTGTTAAAAAAAAAAAAGCACATTGAAAAGCCAGATGGATCTATCAAAGTCCTGCTCCAGATTACAGGAAGAGATCTGAAATGGAGCTGTCATTCTGAGTTTCCTTACATGAGTGTTGCTTAGCTTCAACGAGGCTGAACTAACTGCAAATGAACTGGCCTGCACCGCTGGGGATTTGTTTAACGCACTGTGTGAATCTGAAACTCTTAGCTTGTTTCTCTTGGAACCAGCCACAAAAAGAAACGCAAAAAAACCCAGCAGAATTCCTGGTTCACATACCGTGTTAAACAAACCACAGAGGAAGCAGCCTGAAGGTGTATTAGCTGCACCGACTTGCAAGAACGGCCACCAAGCAAGCCACAGGATAATTGGGCCTATATAAAGGAATATTGCTCTGCTTAATATTTCTTTTCTTCTACGTAATGCAGCGAGTTCCAATGGATGAAGACAAATTCCTCTGGAAAGTGGATTGCATTCTTCAGTAATTCATTGCGCTCCACCTCCAAATTCGGAGCCCAAATTCAATTTTCCCTTTGTTATTTCAGAAACAGTTAGCCAAACAGAAAGGAGAGAGGGGGGGGGAGGCTACCGTCTGCAGAACCTTCCTTAGGGTTTAAAATTAACTACTTGACTCTTTTTATTTTCCTTTTTTTTTTTAAAGCGTATTCATGAGACAAATATAGTAGTAGCTCCTTTAAAAATGTTCATTCACATAATGGAAACCTCATTTATTAAAAATATCACATTTTTTTTTCAGATTAGAAATAGTAAAGTGCATGAAAAGTTTAAAATATAAGCTCGAGGAATCTCGTATAGCAGCAAGCAGAAATACCCAAAACATAAAAAACAAAATTTGCCTTTGTTGCTGCTGTTGAAAAGTTAAGTAAGTGTGACTCTATCCACTAAGGGCTTATTGTTGAGTGCTTTTCTTTTCGCTGATTTTGGCTGGGCAGCAGCGACAGGTGCAAGGGATCAAAATAGGCCAGGTGAAAAAGACGTAGTATCTTCTAAGTGCATGCAGCCACCATCTTGCTTGCTCAGGACCCCTTCTCTGTACTGGAACAGCCAAGGCCTTAATATTCTGCTCAAGCCCATCACAATAGCAGTTGCCCTGAGTGGATAACAGCCTCATCTCTTCTCCTAAAGAGATGACATTAAAAGAATATTTTCCCACCCTCCAGAAGAAAGAAAGGTTTTAAAATGGCCACCAGAAGCACACGTGCACGCGAGGATGCTTAAAGAGTTCGTAAAGAAAGAAAATTAACAGCTGGGAACAAACAAGCAGGTTCCCTTTTTTAAAAAAAAACCAAAAACAAACCCAACTTGACAGGGAAAAAAAGGAAACAACAACAACAACAAAAAGAATTAAAAGCATGACATGGCTATTTGGCGACTAGGGTTCGGGGGAAAAAAGGCGGGAAAATGCTGAGGGAATGGTTAGGTCAGGGGAAGGCAACCTTGGCTCTTTTGTGACTTGTGGACTTCAACTCCCAGAATTCCTGAGTCAGTCATGCTGACTCAGGAATTCTGGGAGTTGAAGTCCACAAGTCACAAAAGAGCCAAGGTTGCCTACCCCTGAGTTAGGTTAATATTCTTCTCACTTTCGTGTTGAAATAAAAAAATTGCACCGAGAAAAAAAATTGCTTGTTTTGCCTGAAGGAGGCTGAAACTAAATATCTATCTCCCACTTTAGTTCTATTAACCTTTCTTAACCAAATACTTTAAAAGGGACACGGAAGGCATTTATAATTTAAAAAAGATAAAAAGGAAGGTTGTGTTTTGGTTGGAATCTCTATACGGTGGAGATCTAGCCGGAGAATTCTTTTGGCTGATTTTAAATATAGCGGTCAGCATTTCATTGGATGCCCTCAGTTATTGTTTTTCCCTCTCGGTCATCTGTCCCGCTACCTGTGTTTCTCTGAAGGGATCCAATTTGTAATTTGGGGTTTCCTTCAAGTAAAAGACAGGTGCTATCTTACTCTTCTGGTGGACAAGACGGCTTCAAGCCAGAAGTTCAGATTCATCCCTGTCCCTTAGTGCAATGGAGGTGACTCAGTGAATTTCAGACCAGAGCATGCAACCTTTTATAGTTCGGAAGTGGAGGTGGTGCACCTGGGGACTTAGTGCCAGATGCAACCAGATATTTATGGAAAAGCTCTCTCCTGCACAGAGCAATTTTTTTTTTAATGGCAGGAAGACTAGCATCTCGCAACTTGGTTAGTTTAAATGAAAAGTGAACAAATTTGTACTCAGAATCAGCACTGAAAACAGTTAAGTGCTATTTCCAATGATATACAATTCCTTACAGCAGGGGTAGGCAACCTTGGCTCTTTGATGACTCGTGGACTTCAACTCCCAGAATTCCTGAGCCAGCCAAGCTGGCTCAGGAATTCTGGGAATTGAAGTCCACGAGTCATAAAAGAGCCACGGTTGCCTACCCCTGCCCTACAGCAATGTTTCTCAACCTTGGGAATTTTAAGATGTGTGGACTTCAACTCCCAGAATTGAAAGCTGGCTGGGGAATTCTGGGAGTTGAAGTCCACACACTTTAAAAATCTCGAGGCTGAGAAACACTGAGCTACAGGGCCATGCATGTTGTCTAATCTAGTGCAGAGGAAATAAAAAAAAAAAAAAATGAGTTATTTGGGAGCAGGGGGAAGGACTCATCTGGCTGTGACTGGAAAAAAAATGGGCAAAAAATACAAAACCTTTAGCTATGGATGTATACATGTAAGCAAATCCCTCCTTTCTGATTTGACCGTTGATTAAGGCAGCTTTCCGTTAAAACATGTAAAGCTTGCCGCCTTTTCTCTGTATGTACTTTGTGTGTCTGTACCTTCGAAACAACCTCCCCCACTCAAAAAAAAAAACCTGAAAAAGGGGAACAAACAACAACTTTGGTTCCAGCCCTAGTGCCAAGTGGTACCAATATGCACCGAAAATTGTGCAAAATTGTACTGTCAACGCAGGAAACGGGAAAGGAGCATGAAGCAGCAGCTATTAAAAGGTTGGCCATACTTCACTCCTACAGACTTTGATTTACAACTGTACAAGTCCATAAACAAATGAACAGGTCCCTGCCCTCGAAAAAAGAGCAGCACTACCTCCTGCTTGGCAAATGGATGCCGTTGATCGGAGGCAGGAATGGAGGGTGGAGCTCAAGCTGAGTCAACAGTGAGAAGTGGTCGGAAGGGATGTGAGGGTGGGGACACCCCGTGATGTTGTTCTCAACCAGCCAGTGAGGATCCAAAGGCCCCAGGACACCAAGCACATTCATGTGAGTGTTGGAATAAAAAATATAGTCAATTACACCCTAGAGGAGGAGAGAGAGAGAAGGGTGGGGGGAGAGGGAAAGTATAAATACAGACAGAAAACACAAAGCTGTTAATAGATTAGGTCAGTGATGGCGAACCTTTTAGAGACCGAGTGCCCAAACTGCAACCCAAAACCCACTTATGTATCGTCGGGTGCCGGGTGGGCGTGCCCCATTGGGTGGGTGTGGCCCATTGGGTGGGCGTGGCTGCGGTGATAACGGCAGACTGGGTGGGACTAAAAAGTTCAATCAATCAATTTTTTTTTCGTGAGAAGTTGAAATTGATTGAACCTTTTTTTTTTTTTTTTTTTTTTGCACAAGGCGGCAGAGGCCTAAAGCAAAAGGTTTTCTAAAACCCAGCTGAAGGCCTAGGGCTGGGGCAACGGCGCACGTGCCCACAGAGAGGGCTCTGCGTGCCACCTATTTTATTATTATTATTTAAATAATAATAATAAAATAATAAATAATAGGTTTGCCACCACAGGATTAGGTTATGTTCCCCTTTAAAAAAAAGAAGAAATGTTCTTTTTAGTCCTTAAATATTAAGGCATGTAAAATGGGTGATTTCAAATTGAAAATCTGCCTTTACTTTAATTAACTTATCAGGGAGGGATATAAAGCCTCCTCTGGCTTGATTTCATTTCCAGGGACAAAAGAAGGATGGTTTGTTGCTACAGGCAGCAAAACTGACAACTGCACGAAACACAAAGGTCACATTGACATCTGCACAGTTAGTCCTCCATTTAGGATTATAACTGAGCTCGGAATTACAGGTGTAAGTGGGTCAACCATGTGAATGTACCCAATTTTATGACCTTTTTTGCAACAGTTGTTAAGTGAACCTGTTTTCTTCAATGGGCATTTTTGTTAGAAACTGGAAGTAAATGCTGGGCAGAAAACACCCCAAAAAATCAGCTGTATGATTTCGAGGTGCTGCAAATGGTAGTAAATGCAAGCCGGTTGCCAAGCACCCAAAACGTGATCACATGACCATGGTGTGTTTGTGCGGCCACCTGGAACATGGTTTTAAGTAGCTCTGGGGAGATCTGTCGTATCCTTGAATGGTTGTTAAGCAACTGTTCATTAAGCAAGGAAACATGTGGAGGTCTCCTCCAGTTAAATTAGACCAGGGGTCTTCAAACTTGGCAATTTTAAGACTTGTGGACTTCAAATCCCAGAATTCCTCAGCCAATCCTGCTGGTGGGGAATTTTGGGAGTTGAAGTACACAAGTCTTAAAGTTGCCAAGTTTGGAGATCCCTCAGTTAGACTGTAAGCTAATCAGAATCCTATAAGCCAGAGGTCTTGAAACTTAGCAACTTTAAGACTTGTGGACTTCAACTCCCAGAATTCCTCAGCCAGCCCTGAGGGCTGGCTGAGGAATTCTGGGAGTTGAAATCCACAAGTCTTAAAGTTGCCAAGTTTCAAGACCCCTGCTGTAAGCTAATCAGCATTTGGGCACTAGAGATTTAGGAGCCCAGCTCTATTCATTATGAGGTTAACATGAAAAGAGAACTTGCAATAATGAACTGTTAAAATGGGTGAATTCCGTTATACAGTACTAACTTACAAAACATCAGACTAAAGGTTCTAATCCAGAATTTACATCTCCTTTTAAATATCATGGCAAAATTGGACTACCTATACAGATTTATGAAGTCACTGAAGCAGTGAGCTTAAATGGACTCCAGAAGATGGTAGAGGACAGGAAGACCTGGAGGAACGTTGTCCATGGGGTCGCGATGGGTCGGACACGACTTCGCAACTAACAACAACATCTTTTTCCACATGGGAGTTCACAAGCCACCATGGATGGTGCAGTTTTTTTCTTCGGGGACTATTTTTATCAAACTGTACTTACCTTGAAATCAAAAGTGTAATTAGTATAAGGCATCAAGTTGTTTTCATAGGCGCTCTTGAGTTGGAAACCATGGGTGATTCTTCCTTCAGAAGCCCCATTCTTTCCATTGCCACTGAAGTTCATGAGACACTCATTATAACGCAGCTCCTTGAAGTCTTTGTGGTTGTCGGCCACTATTCCATTGCTTAAGTATTCCACAACACCTGGTTTGAATAACCAACAGTTGAAAGACTGAATTCACCATAACTCAATGCTTCAACATTTATTGCGCAACAGCAAGAGAACAATTTCCTTTTTTTTAAGACAGTTATGAACATTTACAAAAACCAAAAAAAAATCTATACAAAATGTTTTACAGATGGCACCTAACACCAGTGAGGTTAGTAAAAATGTTTAAAAACATATCTAACAACTGTTGGAAATGGAGACAAAAACCAGGCATTTATTACCATCTTTGGTGGATTGCCCCAAAGCCAAAAGATTTTGGTCAAGAATACACATATGGTTAGAAAAAATTACTAAAAAACATATAGATTTTAAGCCAGAATTATTTTTGTTAGACATAATTGTAGGAAACTATTTTAGATTGTGCAGAAATGGATAGACTGACACTGAAAATGAAAGAGAAAGAAGATTCAATATACTAAGTTTAGAACATGGGATACCTTTTATCAATGGCTAGAAAAACGAGGTAGAGAGAAAGGAATTTAACATGTATTAGTAAGTTAAATGTTGGAACCCAGACACCATGTTGCTGATAAAATACTAAGCATTTGTGACTATAAAAAAATTAATAAATATATATATATAAAAAATGTATTCAATAGTTACAGCCACAATTGTTATTGAAGACCCACTGAGTTTACTGCACTGGAATTAAAAAAGTTGCTTAATGTCCTAACGGATTCTTGTTTATGGCTAAAAACAACTTGTACCAAATGAAAAATTACTAGTTCGACCAAGGACTTGTGCATATTCACTCAGGTCAGCCTAATCCAACTGAACAAAAATCTCTGCCAATATTAAAATACTAATCTATAATCTGAGAAACATGTCAGACAAAGCTTAACTTGGAGAAGTGAAGCCATGCTATTTCAAGAACACAGATCAGAATTTAATTGTGAAGCTGCAAATCTGTGTTCATTGCATAGGAGAGAATAAATTCCCAAATTCACAAAATTTGGGTGTGAGTCTCAATACTTAGAACACATCAACATTTTCTCCACAGCTGACCTGGTTCAATTATAGGCTGCCTTTTTCCAATTACTTTTTTTTATTTTATTCAATTTAAACCTCATTTTTCTACTTTGGCAAAAGCCAGAGTGGCTAATAAATCATGCAATCATTCTACAATTATTTTGGCAGAAATGCATTTTCTAGTGTGCTCATCTTTCCAAGAAAATTCGGACAGTCCTCTCGTCTGTGTCTGTCTGTCTGTCTGTCTGTCTCTCTCTCTCTCTCTCTACACACACACACACACACACACACACACTAAATTTTTGTTTTGGATTGCTAACAAAGAGTTAAAGGGAGACTGGGATAGCTATTTCGAGCTAATTAGCTCTCATCAGCCAGCCATACCCTTCTGAGATTCGACGTTAGGCAGCTGTGTTGACCCCTAGGCCTTTCCCTATTCTAAGCATTTTCTTAATAAAAATATCATAACAACCTTAATAATTTGTTATCAGATATTCTCTAGATATTAATTTTAATCCCAAACCCAATGCTTAAATCCATTTCTTCTATTCAAAATAACTGCATTCATTATTAAAACCCCTTTTTTCAAATTTAATCAACTATAATCATGTAGAGACAGCTTTGTAAAAACTCTTGAGATAAAAGTAAAGGAAAGTAGATGCCATTATTGATCTGTTTTGTTCTTTATTACCTAAAGAACAGCTTCTGGGGAAAAAACAGAGTAGACATAATATATCTGACCTTCTAATTCCCTCTCACTCAAGTAATTAAAAAACAATCATAATTAAACATACTGTCTTAAACACTGAAAGCGGTTCTTCTAACAATATTTTAAGTTTTGCACAAAGATTAAAATTATTCTTAAAAAATAAAGGCATGGGTCAACTCCAAAGTCAAAATCAACTGCTTCCAAATACCTGAATCAGGCAGTGAATTGAGATCTGCACACAGCACCAGAGGAATGGAATTTGTGTCTGCTGTTGGGCTTCCAGGCTGATCAGAGGCTTTCTCAAGAATATTTTTAAGTTCGGAGACAAACATCATCGTCTGGACAAGCTTTACATCTGAATATTCAGGGTCCCAATGCATATGGGCATTTGCTATTATAAGCAGCTGGCTGTCCACTGTATGAAGTGGTTTCATACCTAAGATCAAGGCATCGTTGACAAAATTAAACCAATTCATCCTGAGATATGGAATTGCATTTGTGCGCATAGTTAACTGTCAACGCTGCTAACATCAGATGTTTTTGCTTTGACAAGAGTTAGAGATGCAACCATTTTCTTCTTATGTTTTACTTTTAGAGTTAGATGATGCTGGGGGGGGGGAGGAATGTGCATGAGAGTTTAGACAGACATAACAATACTGGGCCTAGTGTGTGAACCAAGGTTAATGAAATAAGAGATGATAAGAATTGGCCGTGTTGGAGAACTGGAGGGAGGGCCTGCAGTTTCAAACTAATTGGAGAATGTGATTTATAAAGGTTAATTGGAGGAGGGAATTGTGCTTTGATACTATGGGCTCAGGGGAGGGGAACTTAGTTTTTGGCTTTCATTGTATGCTTCTCAAATAAAGATTCTTTAAGGTAAACAATGCCTCGAAGTTCTTTTGAGAGTTTCTTCTGTCGGAACCATGACAGTAACTTTTATGGATTCCGGATTTGCAGTGTTACCTTCACAGCCAGTGAAGGGATGGGATGAGACACTTACAAATGGGGAGGAGTTTGTAACGTAACGTATTTCTCCCCTACTGCCTATTTTGGCACAACAGACACACCTCCATGAACACAACCTGGTTACAGGGACGATGCAATGCACAGAGGCGTCAACTGGACCTGCTTTCCCCACTTGGTGCTCTGCAGGTATAGGACCTGGGTTGGATATAGCCCGCCACCCAACATCATCAGGTCCCCAAAAGAAATATATCCACCTGGCCTGAAGCAGAGAGGGGCCATCCATTGGGCCTCTTTTGTGAGAGCTCACGGGCCTCTCAGTGGCCATTTTAGCAACGGATTCAACAGGTGTCTTGGCATGAGCAGAGCAATTTAGTCCTCTGCCTAGTGCTGGTGAGAATGAGATCAAGCTGGTGGAAGTAGTAGTAGTAGTAGTAGTAGTAGTAGTGGGAGGAGGAGGAGGAGGAGGAGGAGGAGGAGGAGGAGGAGGAGGAAACTGTGACTGTGGGATAGCCTTTGAGCAGTGTTTCTCAACCTTGGCAACTTTACGATGTGTGGACTTCAACTCCCAGAATTCTCCAGCTAGCGTTGCTAGCTGGAGAATTTTGGGAGTTGAAGTCCACACATCGTAAAGTTGCCAAGGTTGAGAAACACTGCGCTTTGAGCCCAGTGCAGAAGGTTGCCAACTCCTGCTCTAATTCTCCCTTGCAGTGCCTGCCCTATGACTCCAATTAACAATAATCATGGGCCCACCCTCGATTATCAGGAAGGTAAATACCGAACTTGATTCCCCATCTGAATTCTCCTGTCATTCCACATTAATGTTACAGGAGATACCACCCCTCTTCTTCCAGGCCTCATTTAACCCACTCAAAGAATTCTGAAAAGATGCAGATGATGATTTTTTTTCCCCTTCCTGGTTGTGATGAGCAGATCTTCTCCTCCAGAAGCTGCCTTGGCAAATTCTCATGCTTTGTCAGCTTCATTTAAGCAAAGTAGTGCTGTTGCTACAAAAAGGCAGCCAGTTTGGTGTAGCACTTAAAGCACCAGGTTAGAAACCAAGAGACTAGGATGTCCAGTCCCTGCGCTTTAGATGGGAAGCTATCAGTCCCTCTCTCTCAGCCCTAGAAGAAGGAGGCAATCGCGAAACACTTCTAAAATATTGCAATGAAAACTGCAGGAACTGGTCCAGGCAGTCACCATGAATCAAGACTGACTCACAGGTCCAGCCCCCCCTGTCTCCAAATTACAAAGCTGGTCATGTACATTCCAGATTCTGGATTAGCCTCAAGACCAGTGGTTCTCAACCTTTTTAATGCCGCGACCCCCAACCGGTCGTAAGTTGAGGACTAAACCGGTCGTAAGTCGAGGACTAAACCAGTCGTACGTCGAGGACTACCCAACCGGTCATAAGTCGAGGACTTTCCCTGCCCGGGAACGCCGCACATGCGTGGTTCTGCCCCCTGCGCCGGCCGAGGCGTAGCTGGCAAGCGGCAGAGACGGAGCAGGCCAACCACCAGCTGGCCCAGCCCAAGGGAGGTAAGGCACCCGCCGGAAAAGGGGAAAAATGGCGGACAGCCTTGCTTGGCGACCCCCGTGAAATGGTCGATCGACCCCAAATGGGGTCACGACCCATAGGTTGAGAACCGCTGCTCAAGACATAGAAGCCTAGAAGGACTTTAGACTAGAGGTCCCCAACCTTTTGGGCACCNTGTGACTGTGGGATAGCCTTTGAGCAGTGTTTCTCAACCTTGGCAACTTTACAATGTGTGGACTTCAAGTCCCAGAATTCTCCAGCTAGTGTTGCTAGCTGGAGAATTCTGGGACTTGAAGTCCACACATCGTAACTGTGTTTTGAGCCCAGTGCAGAAGGTTGCCAACTCCTGCTCTAATTCTCCCTTGCAGTGCCTGCCCTATGACTCCAATTAACAATAATCATGGGCCCACCCTCGATTATCAGGAAGGTAAATACCGAACTTGATTCCCCATCTGAATTCTCCGTCATTCCACATTAATGTTACAGGAGATACCACCCCTCTTCTTCCAGGCCTCATTTAACCCACTCAAAGAATTCTGAAAAGATGCAGATGATGATTTTTTTTCCCCCTTCCTGGTTGTGATGAGCAGATTTTCTCCTCCAGAAGCTGCCTTGGCAAATCTCATGCTTTGTCAGCTTCACTTAAGCGAAGTAGTGCTGTTGCTACAAAAAGGCAGCCAGTTTGGTGTAGCACTTAAAGCACCAGGTTAGAAACCAAGAGACCAGGATGTCCAGTCCCTGCGCCTTAGATGGGAAGCTATCAGTCCCTCTCTCTCAGCCCTAGAAGAAGGAGGCAATCGCGAAACGCTTCTAAAATATTGCAATGAAAACTGCAGGAACTGGTCCAGGCAGTCACCATGAATCAAGACTGACTCACAAGTCCAGCCCCCCCTGTCTCCAAATTACAAAGCTGGTCATGTACATTCCAGATTCTGGATTAGCCTCAAGACCAGTGGTTCTCAACCTTTTTAATGCCGCGACCCCCAACCGGTCGTAAGTTGAGGACTAAACCGGTCGTAAGTCGAGGACTAAACCAGTCGTACGTCGAGGACTACCCAACCGGTCATAAGTCGAGGACTTTCCCTGCCCGGGAACGCCGCACATGCGTGGTTCTGCCCCCTGCGCCGGCCGAGGCGTAGCTGGCAAGCGGCAGAGACGGAGCAGGCCGACCACCAGCTGGCCCAGCCCAAGGGAGGTAAGGCACCCGCCGGAAAAGGGGAAAAATGGCGGACAGCCTTGCTTGGCGACCCCCGTGAAATGGTCGATCGACCCCAAATGGGGTCACGACCCATAGGTTGAGAACCGCTGCTCAAGACATAGAAGCCTAGAAGGACTTTAGACTAGAGGTCCCCAACCTTTTGGGCACCAGGGACCGGTTCCGTGGAGAGAGGATTTTCCACAGACTGGAGGGTGCGTGGTTTTGTGTGCTGCCTGCCTCCCGCGAATGGGGCTTTGCTTGTTTGTGCGGCCCGGTTGCTGGCATGCTGCGGCCCGGTACTGGTCCACGGACCGGGGGTTGGGGACCCCTGATTTAAGCCAGTCACTCTCAGTCCAGCCAATTCACAGGGTTGCTGTTATAGTGGAGGGAGAGGAAGGGGAGGAATGGAGACCCACAGGAAGCCAACTCAAAACTCTTGGAGAAAAGCCAAGCTACAAATAGAACAAATAAAACCCAGCCCGCCGCCGTCCTCATTTGGGGGATGAAAACTCAAAACACCCACCTGCCCCAAACAGTTCCTTGTGCACCTCTAACACAACTGCAACTCCGATGTTGTCCTTTGTCATAACTCGATTCAGCATCGCTTCGGACCCTTCTGAGTTGGCCATCGCCACTTGGTTGAACTCGACTGTGTGCTTCTGCACCAGTGTGAACCTGGAACCAAACCCAGACATCCATAGATAAATCACCAATTAAAAAGAGACAGAAACAACTCTACTAAGGACTGTTATTTGTAGGGAAAATAGAAGCACTGACTTCTGACTCTTTTTGATGCAGCAGAATAAGGTAATAATATACAACAGGGGTAGTCAACCTTGGCTCTTTTATGACTCGTGGACTTCAATTCCCAGAATTCCTGAGCCAGCCACGCTGAGGGGAAAGGACGAGTTACCAAACTGAGCCATGCTGGCTCAGGAATTCTGGGAGTTGAAGTCCATGAGTCACAAAAGAGCCAAGGTTGACTACCCCTGGTATACAACTTCAACTTTTTACTTTTATATAATAATATATACTAGCCATTTCTGTAACAACAACCAAATCCTCTTCTATTTGCCCACTGTTTTCATTTTTTTTCTTTGTATTTCTGTTTTATATTTGGATAAACATCTGGAAAAAAGGACGGTTATTTGTAAGAAATGAAAAAAAATAAAAGCCACTGCGAAGAATTCTAAGCATCCCTTCTGCGTGTTGTTTTTTTTTTTACATGCATATGGCGATTTCAGAACTGCTGCATATCTGGCTAGAACAGATGCTGATTTGGGAACAAACCTGGCCGTTTGCCCACTTGAGCCACAACACGGAGGGGATCGCTTACTTGTCCATTTTGAAGAATATTGCACAACCGTCCACATGTTTTCGCTCCTGCTCAGACATGATTTTGGCACGTGACTTTGGAGAAAAAAATCCGTCGTATCCACGCTCTTTTAATGCTGGCAGAAAGAGGGTGAAGTATTGCTCAGTTTCCACTTCCTGGAAGGGAATGCGACACGGTGACTGGTGCACAAGAGAAAGACGTGCAAAAAAGCAGCGACGTTGGCTTCTCTTTGTTTCCCAAAGCCCTATGTTGGAGTGCCAAGGATCCACAGAAGGACTCCTCATGTTACTCACAGCAACAAAGCAAAGAACCGTTGAAGGCGGATTCGCTTAATGCAGTGATGGCGAACCTTTGAGAGATTGAGTGCCCAAAAACTGGCCCTGCCCCCTGCCCCGCCCACCCCACCTGCCTGCAGGGCCACTCACCGCCTCCAGGGCCCGCCGCAGATCGCCCAGGCAGCCCAGCAGCACCATGACGGCCACGCCCTCTGCCCACGCCCCACAGCATCAACTGTGTGCGATGGGGTGTGAGGGCAGACTCTTTGTCTATGCTGCCTGGCTGCCATGTCCTTGGCTGCGCTGCTCCACGTGGGCCACACTCAGGGGCAACTCCTCCAGGGGGGCTGCTGGTGAGGAGGGGGTCGCAGGGGGAGGCAAGGCTGGGGCAATGGCACGTGTGCCCACAGAGAGGGCTCCGAGTGCCACCTCTGGCACCCGTGCCATAGGTTCACCACCACTGCACTAGGGCGACAGCACGCATGCCCACAGAGAGGGCTCTGAGTGCCGCCTCTGGCACCCGTGCCATAGGTTCACCACCACTGCACTAGGGCGACAGCACGCATGCCCACAGAGAGGGCTCTGAGTGCCGCCTCTGGCACCCGTGCCATAGGTTCACCACCACTGCACTAGGGCGACAGCACGCATGCCCACAGAGAGGGCTCTGAGTGCCGCCTCTGGCACCCGTGCCATAGGTTTGCCACCACTGGTCTACGCCAGAGGTCCCCAACCTTTTGGGCACCAGGGACCAGTTTCATGGAGAAAGGTTTTTCCATGGACCGGAGAGTGTGTGCTTTTGTGTGCTGCCTGCATCCCACAGATGGGGCTTTGCTTGTTTGTGTGGACCGGTTGCGAGCATGCCGCGGCCCGGTACTGATCCATGGACCGGGGGTTGGGGACCCCTGGTCCAGGCCCACCAAAAGTCACTGTATTGTAATGCTTAAGGTGATGGAGAACAACCGAACTGAACAGAAAACAGAACAAGAGAGTTGGAAGGGACCTTGGAGGTCTTCTAGTCCAACCCCCTGCCAAGCAGGAGACCCTATATCATTTCAGACAAATGGCTGAGGAAACCCAGGTTCAAATCCACCTTTAATCACAGCAGTCCACTGGGTGAAGATGCTCTCCTCCTCTGTCAGTCCAACCTAACCTCACGAGAGTATTGTAGAGAACAGGCTGAAGGAGTGAGTGTTATGTACACCAGGGCTTTTCAACCTTTTCACCCATTGTACCACTTTTAGGATATGGCAATATCCGAGTACCACCAGTCGCCTAGCAAGGTGTCAAAAACTTGATGACCAAAAAAAGAAAAAAAGAGATGAAGTACAGGTAGTCCTCGACTTACAACAGTTCATTTAGTGACTATTTGAAGTTACAATGGCACTGAAAAAAGTGCCCCCCAAGCCACATCCGAGCAAGACACCTGCCTGCCTGCCCGGTGGCACTCTTCCTCCTGTCCGAGGTTTCCATTGTTGTGAGCATTTCTGTTGAGGATTGGCAGCGGGGGTGGGGTGGGGGGTGTTTGGTCTTTATTACCCCCGTCTGCTGGATGGTTGCAGCAGGTTTTGGTCACTTCACATAATCCTGGGAGACTGTGACCGTCATAAATATGAATCAGTTGCCAAGCATCTGAATGTAAACCACAAGACCCTGGAGAGGCTGCAACATTCCAGCTGATTGGTGCTTCTTCAGGGCTCAGCAGAAGCGCCAGGATCGGTGCCGAGCTCCAGCTGGAGCCTGGCGCTGATCCTGGCGCTTCCACTGAGCCCTGACAGCCCTGCAGCTCCAGCCATCTCTCGCTCAGGCTTGTGCGGTGCTGCCACCAGTTCAGCTCATTCCCCTCCCCTGCTCCACTTTTCTAGGATGGTCACGTACCACCTGCCAGGTGCCAATGTACCACAAGTAGTACCCGTACCACTGGTTGAAAAGCCTTGATGTACACTATCTTAACTCCTGGAGGAAAGGCATGAAGTAATTCTGCCAAACAGGAAGACTTGTCCCTTTCCTCCAAGAAGTAATTTTTAAAACAATTTTATATTTGTAAACAGTTCTTAAGTTGTTCCTGAGTCAGACACCATGATTAAAATAGACCTAAGTTCATTATAATTACCTGAAGACTAATGATATCTGCATCCCAGTTCACAATTTCTTCCATGATTCCCTTTTTTCTATATTCCCAGTTTAGAGCCCAGGAAGGACAGTAGCCATAGAGCTGTCGGGTAGCGTATTTATCACACAATACATTGTAGCACATGACAGTAAACGAAGCTGGAGAAAAAAGAAAGCCAATGATGAGAACAATGATGAACAATGACGTGGGTCAAGGATTTTTTTGACAGAAGGACTACCTTATTCAGCACTACGGATATCAGCACAGTGGCCGAGAGCTGCCAATTTTCAAAGAAAGCAAGAGTAAAACAAATTCTTTAAAATAAAACACATTTTATAGGTTAGTTTGGAGTGGTGGTTAAGGCGCCAGGCTAGAAACCAGGATATGGTGAGTTCCAGTCCCGCCTTAGGCATGAAAGCCGGCTGAGTGACTTTTAGCCAGTCATACTCTCTGTCAGCCCAACTCACTACACAGGGTGATGGTTGTGGAGAAAATAAAAGGAGACAGGAGCATTAGGTATGTTAGCCTCCCGGACTTATTTATAAAAATAATAAAGGGAAATCTATATAAATAAAAATGTAAATGTTCGTTTGTTCAAAATCTTAAATCTCCGAAAGTTCTTCGCCGATTGCTTTGAAATTTTGACACAACGTTGCATTCGAATACGCGCGTGTTTTTATATACCTATATTATATAGATGTCACACCTGTGACAGGTAAAAACATGCTTTTTTTTGAAAAACAGCGCAATCTGTTGGACGTAAAAGCAACACACGCTTTTACCAGACTGAGCCACAGCAACGCGTGGCCGGGTACAGCTAGTAAACAATAAAATGCAAATATATTTAAGCATGGCAAATCCTCTTTTGTTTTTGTATTGCAGGGCTTTCTAGAGAATTTATTAAATGCTGTGCTAGGATCCAAAGGTTGATTGCTAAATGCATTATAGTCTGGGGCCATCAGATAATCTCTCATTTCTTAATCCACAGCAATTATGCACTCTTCAGCAGCCTTGCCGCACATCCTGTCACTTTTGCTTTCTTAAATAAGCCATAATTGTCTAGATTGCCCAAGATAAAATCTAAAATCAAGCAGATCACATTATGGCTTAGTGCAGGGGTAGGCAACCTTGGTTCTTTTATGACTCGTGGACTTCAACTCCCAGAATTCCTGAGCCAGCCATGCTGAGGGGAAAGGGAGAGTTTCCAAGCTGAGCCATGCTGGCTCAGGAATTCTGGGAGTTGAAGTCCACGAGTCATAAAAGCCAAGGTTGCCTACCCCTGATCTAAACTCATCAAATCATGATCTAGATCAGGGGTGGGAACCTTGGCTCTTTTATGACTCGTGGACTTCAACTCCCAGAATTCCTGAGCCAGCATGGCTCAGCTTGGAAACCTCTCCCTTTCCCCTCAGCATGGCTGGCTCAGGAATTCTGGGAGTTGAAGTCCACGAGTCATAAAAGAGCCGAGCTTGCCTACCCCTGGTCTTAGTGTAATGCACAAAACCAACCAGAGAAATTAAACCGGATGCATAGAACCTTCCCCAAGTTACAACAGGCAGGGAGTCATTGCTTAACGACTCTAATTGGGGATGGAACTTCCATTGCTAAGGGATGCAGTTGTCGGGGGGGGGGGGAACATCATGCGATACCACTTATCGACAACAGTTTAGGTAGTCCTGGCTGCAGTCGTTAGGCAAGGATCTCATGCGTTTCCTGCTCTGCCCCCCCCCGCCTATCTTTTGGCCATCCTGTGCTCAGCCGCCCTTGCTGTCCTGCATTGAGGTCCACAGCCATGGTGGGCACACCTGGTCAGCAGTGGGAGGAAGAAGATGGCAATGATCAGCTGGGGACAGCAAGGGTGACAGAGCACCGGGCATTAGATGTCTGATATAGTATAGGGTTTCCTGCCTGAGCAGGGGGCTGGACTAGATGATCTCCAAGGTCCCTTCCAACTATTATTATTGTTGTTGTTGTTGTTGTTGTTGTTCATTAGACATGAACCTCAGTCAACTGAACATTCAAATTGGCTGGTGCTGATGGTTGACACGGGTTGCTACCAGCATCCTAGGTGTCAACCAGGTACCTCCTTAAAATGTAAGATGTTCCGAGTAGCACGGTTTTTTGTAACACTGCTGGAGTTATTGCAGTTGTTGTTATTGTTATTGTTATTATAGATTGCAATCAAAAGGGCAGAGATGGGGGAGAAAAGGCAGGTGGAGAGACTGAAGTACACACTGCAATCATAAATGTGGGCAGGCTTATAAGCATCCGAACTTTTGACCGCGGAGATGCTGCAACGGCTGTAACTTTGAGGCACAAGTACCCATTGTTCAGCACCCTTACAACTTCAAGCGGTTGCTGAATGGATGGTCATTCACTGAGGACTACCTCAGCTTGCTATGGATGAAGCTTCTCTCCTTCCCCTTTAGCTTCTTGTGGTGCTGCTGCAGCATAAACTCAAAATGCATCATTTGAGTTTCCTGGAGTCCCATTAAGCTTAAGCTCTCCCTGACTGGTGCTATCGTCGTTTAAATACTATTCCTCTATTTAGCTTTTAACACAAAGCTTAAATGGAGTGTGGTCTGAGAATGTTCTTATTTTCACACCTTGATTCTTATTTCAGAGGTTCAGTGACTTTCTGCAACCTAAGATACTTTAAAAAAAAAAAAAAGTATAAGGGCCCTCCTATAAGCACAACAATGCCTTGAGTTAGTTGGATCAGAGAGAATACACCTTGCCAATCAAAGTAATACCTGAGGGCAGAATTTGGTCTCGCTCTTTTAATGTAATCCATGGCCTTGGAGGCAGCTGCTCTGGATGAACTGAAATAACGAAGAGACTGAATGTTAATGAGGGTTACAGTCTAATTCAGGGGTGTCAAACTGCCGGCCCGCGGGCCAGATGCGTCATGCCAAAACCACCCCCACCCCAGCTGCGGCAACGGGGAAAAAAAGTCGCGATACGTCGTGACACGTTACGCGACGTGGCGAATTTGACACCCCTGGTCTAATTTCTTGAAGTCCTGGAATTTAATGTCATAATTATGCATGATATAAACATGGTACCCACATGGCACCAAGTAGCCAGTTCTTCTTGGCAAGAGCATTCAGCAGGGGGTTGGACTAGATGACCTCCAAGGTCCCTTCCAACTTTATTATTATTATTATTATTATTATTATTGTGTGTTCAGAGAGCACACGCATCCTTTTAGGAGGACTCTGAATGTAAAATTCTTCCCCTAACAAAGCTTACATTTCATAAGTAGGACAGATTGCTAAGATCATCATTTAAAAAAAAAATTCTTACCTGCTAGATTGTCAAGCATGTAGTTCAACAATTTACGTGTCCCATCTGAATCCTGGTACAGGCTGAGAATATCTTGTGATAAAGGATTGCCTGGAATTGAAGCGAGATTTTTTTAAAAGAAATGGCTTCCACAATAGTCTCAATTTGAATGAATTAATATTTACTGTAACAATCCTTAATTATCCTTAATCCTTAATCTATCTTGGAAGGCTGGTTAACTTAGTAACCTATCTTTCAGTTCTAGAACAAAACAGAAGACCTGATAACATTTTCATCCCTAGAGAAAATACTTCATAAAGACATCAGTGAACTAATAACAGATTTGGAAGGGACCTTAGAGGTCTTATAGTCCAGCCACCTGCTCAGGCAGGAAACCCTATACCATTTCAGACAAATGGTCATCCAATCTCTTCTTAAAAACCTGTAGGGTTGGAGCACCCACAAGTCTAGAGGCAAATCTTTCCACTACTTAATTGTTCTCACTGTCATGAAATTTCTCCTTATTTCTAGGTTGCTTCTCTCCTTGATTAGTTTCCATCCATTGCTTCTTGTCCTGCCTTCAGGTGCTTTGGAGAATAGCTTGACTCCCTCTTCTTTGTGGCAGCCCCTGAGATATTGGAACACTGCTATCCTGTCCCCCCTCGTCCTTCTCTTCATTAAACTAGACATACCCAATTCCTGCAACCGTTCCTTATGTTTTAGCCTCCAGTCCCCTGATCATCTTTGTTGCTCTTCTCTGCACTCTTTCTGGAGTCTCAACGTCTTTTTAATATCGTGGTGACTAAAACTGGATGCAGTATTCCAAGTGTGGTCTTAGCAAGGCATTGTAAAGTGATACTAACAGGAAAGTGGGAGTTATTGTGAAATCCGTTTTGGTGCACAATCAGAAGGACAGTAGGAAGTGATTTCACCATCACCCCATCAAACGAAGAGGTTTATCTCAAACTCTATTTATCTGGTTCTGCCTTCCAAAACAGAGCCTTTCTGCTTTATTTTCTTAATGTTTGGCCGAAGTATTTGGAACTTTTTTTTTTAATTCATGGGGCTGGAACTAAAACAATTTGGACAGAAGTCATCTTTACTAGATAAACGGAAAAGGGCAGATTTCAATGTTCTCCTATCTTTATCTGCAACTGGAGTTTTCAAAGTATTATTCAAAGGCAACTGTGTCTTTGAAGACATTCCTCTTGGCTTGGATTCTTTTTTAGGGCTGATAACGGGTCAAAAACTTTATTAGTACAATAAAATACGTTAACTAGGAAACAAAAGCAAATTGTGTTTGTGGGCTTCAAAGAGGCATTCCATTTGCCAAACAGAACTTGCTCTTTTAAGGAAAATCTACCTGGCTGATCTTGCTTGTAATAGGAGAACAAATTTAACCTTCCCTGCCTGCTCTGCTACTCTATAACTGAGACTTAACTAAGTGTTTCTCGAGTTACACCTGATTCCTGGAAACTATAGGGACACATGTTGGGGTTTTGCCAACCATATAGATTTGTAGTGGTTAGTGCTACTCTATAGGCAGAGTAGCAACAGTATATCGTACCAAAATAAAAGGCTCAAAGCAACCAAAAAAACACCTCAAGGCTGATATAAAGTTTATTGATTGATTGCTTAAGAAGCCCTTCTAAGTTGATTTCAATTGCCATCATTCCCCAGGTTTGGCCAGGCAGGGAGATGATGTTAGAAATACAGAAAAGTTAGAAATAAAGAATCAGGCTAAGAATATACACTATATTATATATTATATTATATTCCTCCCCTCTCCACTTGCCCCCTCCCCTTTTGTGGCATAAATATGGTTTGTTGGAAGCACCAAGTAACTTTTTTTCCCCTTGGGGGGAAACAAAAGTGTATATTTGGGGAAGAGTGTGGAACAGGAGTGCTATTCTCTGTTTCCTTCTCCTGCACCAGATTATGGCTGACTGGTGGGATTCTTGTATGCGGATTTTTTAAAAAAAAGAAACCAATTGCTGAAACTGTTTTGTACAAGAGGCGAAATAAACCGCATATAATATATAAGTATATATTACAGGCAGTCCTTGACTTACAACATATACAGGTAGTCCCAAACAACCATTTGTTTAGCAACCATTCAAAGTTACAACCATTCAAAGTTACATGAAGTATTAATACCACTTTACAATGCCTTGGTAAGGCCACACTTTGAATACTGCATCCAGTTTTGGTCACCACGATGTAAAAAAGATATTGAGACTCTAGAAAGAGTACAGAGAAGAGCAACAAAGATGATTAGGGGACTGGAGGCTAAAGCATATAAGGAACGGTTGCTGGAATTGGGTATGTCTAGTTTAACGAAGAGAAGGACGAGGGGGGACATGACAGCAGCGCTCCAATATCTCAGGGGCTGCCCCAAAGAAGAGGGAGTCAAGCTATTTTCCAAAGTGCCTGAGGGCAGGACAAGAAGCAATGGATGGAAACTAACCAAAGAGAGAAGCAACCTAGAACTAAGGAGAAACTTCCTGACAGTTAGAACAATTAACCAGTGGAACAACCTGCCTCCAGAAGTGGTGAATGCGCCAACACTGGAGGTTTTTAAGAAGAAACTGGACAGCCATTTGTCCGAAGTGGTATAGGGTTTCCTGCCTGAGCAGGGTTGGACTAGATGACCTCCAAGGTCCCTTCCAACTTTATCATCATCATCATCATCATCATTATAAGGGCACTGGTATGCCTTTTGTGACCTTCTGTCGAGCAAAGCCAGATTCGTTTCACAACTCTGTTGCTAATTTAATAACTGCAGTGATTCACTTAACAACTGTGACAAGAAAGGTCGTAAAAGGGACACAACTCACTGAACAACTCTCTTGCTTAGCAATGGAAATTTTGGGCTCAATTGTGGTCGTAAGTCGAGGACAACACGTATTGCCTCCAAGAGGTTAATAGAGGATGGGGAAAAGTCAGACAAAAGGGGAATCGGAGTGACTTAAGCACCCCAAAAATATATGTCTTACTACTCTTTACCTTTCAGTCCAAGGGTTTGTAGCTGGAAGAGCCGTCCAAGTTCATAAGGCAAAACTCGTAACAAATTGTTGTTTAAAAGCAATTCCCTAAAACCAGAGTAAATTATTTAATAAAGGCAGTTTAAAAGAGGTTTACACATCTGCACTCATTGTGATACTTTTCTAAGTGGTGAGATGGAAAACACGAAGAAAGCATCAGAGCCTCTGCGTTAGTATAATCAGCCCACTTCCAGATCAACCATTTCTGAGGATAAAGGTATATAGTTGGTGCCGGATCATAATGTGTATAAACAAAATAACAATTTCTGTTTACAATTTGTCAACCAAAAACTGAAGGAAGTCCACAAAGGTGGCCCAAGGCTGTGGGCTTCAGACTAACCTTTATTTCAGACTGAAATAAAGGATCAGATAAAGAAAGACAAAATATTAGAAGAATTCTTGTCCAGTGTTTAGAAGATTTTTTTTTTAAAAAAAATACCTTTGGCTCTAGAACAGTAGCAGAGCTTGTTTTTCAAGATCATAAACATCCTGACTTGGGACGTTCAGAAATTATTTAAAGTTTTTGAACAAGTATTTTTGCAGATATTAGGCTCATTCCAAAGTACATAAAAATGCCAGAATGGCAGAGGAAAAACTATTATCCAAAATAAGAGTCCCAAGTTGAGTTTTCTACCATATGTGGCGACATTTATCCATAGCTTGAATCAACTTATTTCTTCTGTTTCCTCCTTCCCCAATGCTCTTGATCATATTATGCCAAGGAGCATAAGTTTAAAAATATTACTACTCCACCCACAAATTACGTAAAAAGAAAAGCACAAAAATTCTTGCATCAATACAGTAGCCAAGACAACAGCAGCAAAAACTCTTTTAGATTTGAGATTATTGCTGAAGAGAATTCAATTCTCACCTGAGAGAAACCATGTTTCCTAGTTCTGCTGGTAAACTTCGGAGTTTGTTGGATGAGAGATCCAGGTAAACCAGATTATGAAGCTTGGCAATATCAGGTGGAATGCGAGTCAAATAGTTGTCATTGAGGTGGAGAGCAGTCAAGTGGGTTAATGACCAAAGTGATGTACTTAAATTGCGCACTCTACCTAAAATCAGAAACAGGTAGAGAGAGTTAAGAGGTTTTTTCTACAAGCTCAACAAATATACTTAATTTTGCAATTGCAACAAAATATACTAATCATTTACCTAAGATAGATAGATAGATAGATAGATAGATAGATAGATAGATAGGTAGGTAGGTAGGTAGGTAGGTAGGTAGGTAGGTGGGTAGGGATAGATAGATAGATAGATAGATAGATAGATAGATAGATAGATAGATAGATAGATAGATAGATAGATAATTACAAGTTCTGTTCACTATAACTTCTATATATATGCCTTTGTGAAAAAGTGTCAAAAATAGGTAGGTAGGTAGGTAGGTGGGTAGGGGAGAGAGAGAGAGAGAGAGAGAGAGAGAGAATTACAAGTTCTGTTCACTATAACTTCTATATATATGCCTTTGTGAAAAAGTGTCAAACTAGCTAAACAAACAACTAAGAATTATCTTGAATCAAAAAACTTTACTGGCTAGCTGAAGAGGCAAAATTTGTATTTCTTACAGGTAAAGAGAGATGTCAAGATCAAAGAATCAAATATTAAACAATCGCCTCTTCTACAAAAACACATTATTTTTTAAAAAATTCTTCTCTGCGCATTTGGATTAAATTAAGTATTTAAGAAGGATGCATTTAAAGTTATGCATCTGAGTAGGAAAAATGAAAGTTACAAATCCAGCTTGGCAATACTGGAAGTCTTTGACTTACAACTAACTAGTTGCTTTGAAATTGAGATGGACCAAAGAAAAGGTACTTACGACCTGGATTCGAAGTTCTGGTGGCCACCATCACCACCCCAGTCACTTGACTGCATTTTGGGTGCTTGGCTACCATCCCACATTTACGGCCATCTGCAGTATCCCATAGTCACATGACTGTGTTTACTTCGCTTCAAACAGAAAATGTCCATTATGGACAATGGGTTCGCTTAACAACCGCAGCACTTGCTTAATGACTGCAGATTTGCTTACCGACCATGGCAAATCACTTAATGACTACTGTAAAAAAAAAATCCAGTCGATCACAAGACGACCTGCATGACTTTCAACATAACTCCCAATTCAATTATGGTCGTAAGCTGAGGACTGCCTGTATAAAAAGGATCTGCTAAAAACACACACGATCCCTCGAAAAGCTTTAATAGCAGCATAGAGTCCAGATCACAGGGAGTTAATTGTTCTACTTTCCTTTGATCTGGTCATTTATCAGATTCCTTACCCGAGATTTCCAACTCTGCCCAGTGGGACTTCTTCCCATTGGCTACCTCTTCTGCTGACATGATGGTATATATTCTGCGAGGATCTGGAGGATCATATTTTTCCTTTGGCATCCCTGTTAGTCTGAAAGAGGCGGTAAGGTCATTATTACAGCATGCAAGTAATAACAAACAGTTTTCTCATCATTAAATGACTCATAAGCATGACAGATAACTGGTGTACAATATGGAATAAAAAGTTTGTTTGCTACAAAATGCTGCCCTGAAAATTAAGGTAGACATAATGGGAGCCACCCCCTCGTCTTAAAAAGTTGTATTTATTACTACAGGTAGTCCTCGACTTACAACCGTTCATTTAGTGACCTTTCAAAGTTGCAGCGGCACTGAAAAAAGTGACTTATGACCTTTTTTTTTACATTTATGACCGTTACAGCAACAGATCACGTGATCAAAATTCAGACGCTTGGCAACTGACTCATATTTATGTCAGTTGTGGTGTTATGAAGTCATCTTTTGCCACCTTCAATAGGGAAGCCAGATTCACTTAACAACTGTGCTACTAACTTAACAGCTGCCGTGATTCACTTAACCATGGGGCAAGAAATGCCCCACATAGTAAAATGTGGCAAAACTCACTTAACATCTGTCTCACTTAGCAACAGAAATTTTGGGCTCACTTGTGGTCGTAAGCTATCCATTCTGGACTGGCTTTGAAAAGTTTACAAAAAAAGAGACTGCATGAAAAACAAAAGTAAAAGCTGAAGTCCAAAATTATGCTGTAATCAAAGAATCGGTCCAGTACCGGGCCGTGGCATGCCAGCAACCGGTCCACACAAACAAGCAAAGCCCCATCCCCGGGATGCAGGCAGCACACAAAACCACGCCCCCTCCGGGCTGCGGAAAAACCTCTCTCCACGTAACCGGTCCCTGGTACCCAAACAGTTCGGGACTTCTGCATTAAAGCGAGGGCCACCACTGAGAAAGTCCTATTCTGGGTACCAGCAGATGAAACTCCTTTGGTGACAAGACCCTCAACAAGCTGCAATCTCGATGTTTCGTTGTCAGACAGATTTTTATTTATTTACCAAATTCATTTGCCGCCCATCTTGCAGTTCAAGGCAAGATTCCATTTTGGAGCGGACAGGTCTGAAGATATCTAGAAATACCCCAATGGCAAAGAATATACTTAGGGTGATGGTGGGCTTATCAACAAAAAGGGGACCATTGGTGACCAGTTCAAAACAGTATTTTGGAAAAGAGACCATTGCAATCGAACTCTCAACAGAGGGCCTTATCTGGTAGCTTCTGTTGGATTGTTTTGTTTAAAATAGTTTCCCTTAATTTCGTTACGATATCACCGTGTGCGATCTTCTGTGGGATATTACTGTTATTGCATTTTAAGAACAGTATATCACTTTGAAGTTTAAGTGCACAGAAAAATGATACAGAAACAATTTTAATAACTAATCCATGGGTATAATTTTACACTCTTTAGCTATCCAATGGATTTGATTTTTAAGGCCATCTTCACATGGAAATACTACTATCGTATCTAAGTAAATACTTCTGAAGTAAAAACAGAACAAGCAAAGGTTTATCAATACCTTCCTCTAAGTCTATATTATTGTACTTTATATCTAACCATCCACCTACAAACAAATTAAAAAGCTTGATAGTATTATCTCATGCCTAAAAGATGAGTAACATGAACCAAAATTGAGAGAAATCTATTGCAAGTAATTTTTATGGGTAATTTACTTTTTCAAAAATCTGCTATCTCTATAGAAATGCTTTTCTGTGGCAATTTAATTAGAGTCATTAAGTTGTTTTTCTCAAAATAGAAGCATTAATTTCCTAGAAATATTAACTACTTTTTCCCTAAGAGATTTTTATTTTCATTTTTGCCACCCAGAAGTGGTCTAAATTAATACTTAGGGTAAATTAAGGCTTTCAATTATGAAATATAGCACATAATTAATTACACTGTTTCTTAGCATAACAATGCCAAAAGCTGGTATGAAGTATTTATGTTTAGAACAGTGATGTGGACTTTTAGAAGAGGAAGCTTCTATTTTTTCTGCATTTAAGTTGGAGAAGAAATAAACTCGGAACTTGAAATAAACTTGAAATGAGGAATTTCAAAATCAGGAATCATTTCTGAAGCGCCTGGAGGCAGGACAAGAAGCAACGGATGGAAACTAACCAAGGAGAGAAGCAACCTAGAACTAAGGAGAAACTTCCTGACAGTGAGAACAATTAACCAGTGGAACAACCTGCCTCCAGAAGCAGTGAATGCTCCAACACTGGAAGTTTTTAAGAAGAGACTGGACAGCCATTTGTCCGAAATGGTATAGAGTTACCTGCCTGAGTAGGGGTTGGAGTTGATGATCTCCAAGGTCCCTCCCAACTTTATTATTATTGTTGTTGTTGTTTGCTTGATTTTACACTTGTCTGTGGCAAGGAAATGCAACCACAGCTGTCTAGATATTGTCAGCTTCTCGAAATTTCAGGCAGCAAACGTGTAGCCAACATTCTTAACAATCAGCCCTAATTTATTGTCTGGATCTAGGTCCAGATAATCCTCAATTTACAACCACAACTGAGCCCAAAATTTCTGTTGCTAAGTGAGACATTTGTTAAGTGTATGTTACCTCGTTCTACCACCTTTTTTGCCCCAGCTGTTAAGTGAATCACTGCAACTGTTAAGTTAGTAACACAGTTGTTAAGTGAATCTGGTTTCCCCCTTGACATTGCTTGTCAGAAGGTTGCAAAAGGTGACTGCATGTTCCTGGGATGTCTGACAAGCAACCGTCATAAGTATGAGTCAGTTGCCAAGCATCTGAATTTTGATCATGTGACTATGGGGATGCTGTAATGGTCGTTAAGTGTGAAAAAATAGTCATAAGTCACTTTTTTCAATGCCGTTGTAACTTCCAATGGTCACTAAATGAACTGTTGTAAATCGAGGACTGCCTTTATAGTCACGTGAGACCAGACTGTGGACATAGATTCCCTTAAGCAAATTAAATAGGAGAAATTAAATATAATTTCTATAACTGAATAGCTGGGTTAAGTTGATGTAAATTCTTCTATTCCAAACAGCTGTACATCGCGAGGCTGGATTCAGAATTAGGATATGCTGCTATGTTTGGTTGGTTGTTTTTTCTTTTTAAAAAAATATTTCTAAGGGTTAATGCTCTTTGCCTTAGTCAACAATACATGCCTACTATATTCCAACACAAACTTTTCAAAGAATTTTATGTCCAGTGGCCCTATTTGGCTGACACACAAAACTACATGAGCACAAAACATATACCTTAGCAACTGGCATTTGTACACAGTGAAGACAAAGCTACACTCCAGGCTATATAGATTTACAAGGGCATCCTTGAAAACACAAGCTGCCAAAAGAGTTGCATTTCAGTATGAAGCAAATTGTATCAAGGACAAAAGGAGTGGGTGGATTGTTTTCTTAAAATAGCCACCCTTCTGGATCTAACCATAACCACTACAGTCAAATCCTCTTTTCCATACCACTTCAGAGGAACAACACCTCCACCCAAATGCGAACTTGACAAAAAGTTTAAAAAAAATGAACACTTAAAAATCCAGTCCTGCAACCGAACTTAGCATAATTACCTTATGCGATCCACCCTTACCGCTTGGCACAAGTAACAGTGTGTGTTTTAATCCATGAGCTGGTAACATTTTACAGGTAGTCCTTGATTTATGACTATAATTGAGCCTACAATTGTATGACCCTGATTGCATGACCCTGGGACACTGCAACTGTCACCAATATGAGCCCGTTGTCAAGCATCCAAATTTTGATCACCTGAACATGGAGATGCTGCAACGGTCATAAATGTGAAAAATGGTCATAAGTCACTTTTTTCAGTGCTGTTGTCATTTCGGTCACTAAATGAACTGTTGTTAAGTAGAGGACTACTTGTACTACTTATTATATCATATACAAGTAATCCTCAATTTACAATCAGTTGCTTACCAACCATATGACAGAGCTCCAAAAAAGGTGGTCACAGCCCGGATTTGAAGTTCCGATGGCCACACCCCCTCCATGGTCATGTGACCACATTTGGGGCACTTGGCAACCAATCTGCATTTATGACCATTTGTAGCAGTCACATGACCATGATTTGCAACTTTTTTTTTTTCTTTTTTCCAGGAAACCAGCATTTACCTATTGTGGACAATAGTTACGCTTAATGACTATGGCACTTAACAACTGCCACAAAAAAAAGATGTACAATTGAATGTGGTCATGTCTGAACTGCTTAATGACTAGCACAACTTACATAATTGAACTCTGAATTATGGTCATAAATCGAGGACTACCTGTACCATTCTAATACGATTTTTGATGGCTTAGAGCAGAGGTCCCCAACCTTTTGGGCACCAGGGACCGGTTCCGTGGAGAGAGGTTTTTCCGCGGACCGGAGAGGGCGTGGTTTTGTGTACTGCCTATATCCCGCAGATGGGGCTTTGCTTGTTTGTGCGGACCGGACTGGTACTGGTCCACGGCACGGGGGTTGGGGACCTCTGGCTTACAGGAAACAGACGCCATCTCAATGTGAAATGCATCTATTCTGCATGAAAAAAATTTTTTAGAGTCAACCCAAATCTTTCAACTTCAATGACCTTAGGTCAGGGGTAGGCAACCTTGGCTCTTTTATGACTCGTGGACTTCAACTCCCAGAATTCCTGAGGCCAGCCTACCCCTGCCTTAGGTAGAAGGTCAAAGAAAGCTTTCCACCTCACACAGCCTGGCGAATTGTCATCTCTGGAACTATATTTCTATTAAATTCAGATGCACAAGCATTTGGATCTCAAGTTTTATCATCGTAAGAGCTCCACCTGATAATTCAATCTATTTTTTCATCTTGCTCTCAACCAGTTATTGCAAGGCACAAAGACATCTTACCTTTAAAGACAGCTTGGAAATTTCCAACTGCTCTAGCACGCAAGCATTGGAACTATTGCAGTCTTAGATCCCCAGTTGTTATTAGACTACAACTTTCCTCACCCTAACAACTGGGGTGAAGGGGGTTGATGTCTAAAGTGACATGGAGACCTGACGCTACAAAGATTTAAGC